GGATGACATCCTCTTCTTTTTTCTTTTTTTTTTTTTTTTTTATTTTCCATCTCCCCTTTCAGGTTAAATATGGCAGTATTGATAGCCCTCCTGGCTTCCTTGCCAAGCGTGTGCTGTCTGCAAGAGGCAAGTACTGAGCAAAAGGCTTCCCCAGCCGTGAACCTTGCCAGGCAGGACCTGACCATTGCTAAACACACGTGACTATTCCTTTTGCCACCTGTGCTTTAAAACAAAGCGTGAGCTTGCCCATTTCTTTGGAAGAAGGGCAGCTCTCTCCTGGGAGAGAGCTTTTGGCTGGAGCCGGTGAGTGGGTAAAGGTCCCTGAGGCACCGGTAGGAACACTGAGCTCCTGGGCAATGGGACTCTGGAGATTTACTCTCCTGTGCCCTGGGGGCCACCCCTCTCTGAGGCAGCAGCCCATAAACCTGCCTGGGACTGTGCTTTGCGCCATGGAGGCACTTGATGAAAGATGAGTGATGCTTGGAGTTAAACAGACACAGGGCACACACAGAGCTTAGTCACAACCCAATGCACTGCTAACAGCCAAACGGCCAGCAGAGCGGGAATGGTGACARTAACGTCACCTTTCATAGACTTTAGTCCTTCAAGAGGACGGGCTGACGGATGCAGGCACTGGCAGTGGGTGCTGCACAGGCTCCTCGAAGAGCAAGGCTCAGCATCCATGGGGCTGGGCTTCAACGGCAGCTTTTCTCCCCAAGGAAGCTTTGTGCATCGGCATCACCATCCCGACAGATCAACAGCCAAGGACTGGCCAAGAAAATTGAAGGCTTTTTTTCTTTTAAATAAAAAAGTGGAATATGAATTGTGAAAAGGGACAGCCAGTTGGGAGGGTCAATGCAGGCTGCCACGACAAAGCTGGGCCCCTGGTGCTGCACAAACATGTGAAATATGCTGTAAAATCCATACATATATGTCACACACCTTCACACAAAAGCAGCTTGCCCCAGCACCACCCATAGTATTGCAGAGCAAAGAGGCTTCCAACAGCTTTTCCCTCTGGTCTGGAGTATTGTTGTCCTTTCTGGCACTTCTTATTTGCTAGCTGAGGTAGTGACTGGATACCTTGGATGGTGATTTCTCAGCTGAGATTTTTCTCTTTTTTTTTGTACAGCACTACAGTGTTTGAAAGATTATATACCAGGGTTCGGAGCTTGAGGGACCAAGAAAATGCTTTAAAAGTCCCCAGCTCTGGAAGTTATTAAACAGTAACAGCTACTAGAGCACCTAAGTGTTAAGGCTGGTAGGAGAAGATGGGGTTTTTTTTATTAATCAAACTGATATAATTGGGRGAAAATGACATATTCAGACACAGAAGCCCTTCTGTTTAAATGCATTGACTCTTACCATTTGGAAATCTTTTCTTCCCTTTAGTGCTCTATTTTCAAGCTGTTCTGATTTTGCTGGTCCAGAGGTGCTTGTTTCAGGACAAGCATCTCAGCAGCTGCGAGCTGAGAACCTTGCAGAATTAAAGAACTTAAGAATATGTTGCAGGTAGTCACGAGGGGTGCTCAAACACCCCTTTCGCTTGGACTAATCCTCTCAGCAGGTCCTTGTTCTCCACATGCATCCTCCTCTGGAGCTCCTCAGTTAGCCAAGTGGGACAAGGCAGCTGGCTCTCTCTCTCCCTTGCAAGTAAAGGCTGCAGGATGCAGGGACCATGGATTGCCTCCGCTCTGGCTCATTACATGGGAATTTACCATTGTAGAGGTGTCCACCACAGGAGAGACCTGTGTGCCAGCTCTCACTCAGGTCTGACAGCACGTGAGAATTGCTTTGGATATGGTGGTTGCCCTCGTGTAGGGTTTGTGCAAGGTCTCCAGCACCGTTTAAAGCAAATATGCTATYAGATGAAATTATCCTCCCTTTCCAAAAGACAAATAATAATAATAAAAAAAAAAAAATCCAACTGCCTTTCATGGAAGAGAATGGGAATTTCCCTAGGTTGCTCATATGGGAGTATTACAGAGAGCTGAAATTATGTGGGGAAGGGAATCCTTTTTCCTAATCTCTCTCCCACTGCTTTCTAATTTTCACTTCAACCTCCGATATTAGCTGCCTTCTCAGGAGTCATGGGAATTCTCAGTGCAAGTATATTTAGCCATATTCCTTTGGGTAGGTGGGGGAGGGAAGAGACCCCTAAATAGCTGTATGATAACAAACCACTATAAGCATATTTCCTTGGAGAAAGTTTAGTCAAAGTTCAGAGGAAAGACAACTAAGTTTTTGGCAGCTGGAAGGCCAATGGCCAGCTTCATTTAGAGCTATCTCCACAGCCTTTTACTCAATAAGGAGCAAAGTCAGAAGAGTGACCCTCTTGCTATGTATAAGTCCTTCCCTCCATGTGCTGAAGATGCCTCAGGGTAAATTAAATGCTTAAAGAAAGTGGCATTAACTAGATTTCTCCTCCCCAACTAAACTATATACATATAAATATATATATATACACACACACACACACACATAAAATATATAAACCTCGGACCCAAGTCCTACACAATAGAAAGCCTCTTTTAAAGAGGGGGTGGAGACAAGGTCATTCCCACTATTCACAACACTGCAGAAGAATGGAAAGAGCTCACAGGGCTTTAGCAGAAGAGGGATAATGTCCTGGCTTTCATTCTGCTCCAGGGGCAGTGGAAAAGGGGAGATGCTGTCCCCCTGCTGCTGGGGAAGACTGTGGGACTTGTCGTGCCAAAYTAGCCGGGGAGGATATGAACTTTGTTAAAAATAAAACTTATCAGCTGACAATCACAGGCTGAGAATGTTATCTGGCCCCACAGGAGCGTGAAAACAAATGGGCGTTTGAAGAAGAGGGGAGCGAACAAGGTGAATAACGTCAAAATAGCAGGAAGTGACCAAGGAAAAGTGCCAAGCTGATGGGAACGCACGGAGCTCCCCACACAGGGCCCAGCAGGGGCCCGCGCGCTCCCTCGGCCGGACACGGGACAGGGAACACGAGCACAGCACAACGCTTAGCATGACCCAGTGTTTATTGACTCCTGTGACATTCTTTTCTTTTTTTTTCCTCTTTTTTCCCCCTCTTTTATTAAGTAACAACAACACAAATGTGATGGTAAAACATTATTGCATGTTTCCGTAAGCGTCTGATGCAAAGTGCCAGCATTGTTGACCAGCATACAACCTGACAAGAGAAGCTGCAGTCGTAACTCGCCCTCAGATAGCTGCTGGAGTACATCACAGTCAAAATAAAACTAGTTATTTGCCTGCAAATAGGTACATTTTCTTCTAGATGCAAGTGGTGTTAGAGCCAGCTATTCTGCAACAACAACAAAAAATGTATACTGTTTTCCAACACTTTAAAAATTCAACAGGAATGAATGGACTAAAACAGTTTAGAGATAAGGAAAAAAAAAACAGATCAGATGATAATCTCAGATGCTACTTTGCAGAGGCCATTCCTTACAGAACCAAAAGTAAACTACAGAAAATAAGATTTATTAGAAACTACTTTGCTCAAAAGGCCAGCAAATTTGCAGTTACAGGTTTAGGAACAGAAATAGTGTCTTGATTTTCACTATTGCCTTTCTTTTCCTCTCCCCCCCACCCCCAACAAATGCAGCATATTGGAAATTGCAGCTCGGTGGCTCTGCATTATCTCTAATTCAACATGCAACTGCATTTGGAAAGGCAACCTATTTCGTAAGGAGCCATGAAAACCTGCATGACATGCACATTTGGCATATAACAGCTTCATAGACATGAATGAAGGCACGTTTAACAGTCTTGCACAACTCGTTGACAGATGCTGTTTAGCCATAGATGTTTCAAACGCTCGCTATGAAGACACAAAACCCACAGCTGGAAGGAAGCTCCTTGAAATGCCCCCTGACCAGCAGCACGCTGCTGCCCACACACCTAAGATACTTTTAGTCATTCAGAGTGGTTCTCAGCTTCCCAAAGACAGGCAAGCTAAATCTATCCAGAAAATGTTAAAGTTGTGGATTTCCCTCCCCACAAAAAAAGAGGGAAAAATTAAATAAATCAACCTACAGTATCTCCAAAGTGATCTGGAAATGGGTAAAGGTCTGGAATGGAGGCAGAGGAACTGGTTTCAAAAGCCTGTGCCCTCAGCCTCAGATGTTCAATTAGCAAAGACAAAAGAAGAAAAAAAGCTCTCCTTTCAGTTCTCTAAAACAGGAAAAMATATATATACTTTATTTACAGTAAATCTATACTGTTCCACACTCCATCCAGCAAATGTGTTGCTGACCATTTCTAATGCTAGATGGCAGCAATAGTGGTAACTAAAGTACCTTTCTTTCCAAACTTTTTATATAAGCCCTTTCCCCTCCTGCCCCATCATTTGTCCATTGTTTGAGGCCTCAGTAAGATTTATACTAACCTATCTTTCTAGTGCACTGTTAGGTTTACAGTATCCAAAGACAAAGCAAGATTTGGGTTGCTTTAACTGTCTTTGACCCTTTCAAAACCTTGTAGGAGTTTTTAAAACATACATGTCATTACTAACTTTGCATAGCAATAAAACAGGTTGGGATTCTTTCTTCCCCTTTTAAATAATCAGGCTGCAAATGCCCTTAATAGAAAATTCAAAACCTACCACCTTTCCTGGGTTACTGCTTGCTCTCAAGTAAATAACTTTTTCTCCTTCCACACAAACATTGAAGAATGAGAATTTCAAGTTACTTTTAYGTTTCCTTCAAGTTTATGCTTGAGCCATTTAGCTATACCCATAGYAGAATAATGATTTTTCTTTCCAACACAAAAGGACAATTACCAGATTATTGGTCTTCCAGTCTAGAGTCATAAGAATAAATCTGCCACACATTCCCTCGTATTCCTCTCTTAAGGTGCACAGTGGTCAGGCTATAGTCTTATCCAAATGACCATTGCTGGATCTCTGGGAGAAGTCAAGAGTACTGGTATACTAACATTCAGAATTCAAAAAAAGCCTCCAGGATGCCCCTCTTACTTTGGAGGGCAAGCTTATGATTTCCTTTATCTCTCTTGCCATATTTTATGTCAGGGAAGTTATTTCTTTTCCGCCTCACATAGCTTTCACCCATCTGCTGCTCAGGTTTAACAGTTTGCCATTGCACATTGCCTTTTCATGGCCCTGGCTCAAATGCAATAGCAGTTGCCCTCAGGTCCATTACTAGCATGACATGTCACTTGCCCTCAGGTCCATTACTAGCATGACATGTCACTTGCCCTCAGGTCCATTACTAGCATGACAATCCCACACCACGTCATGAACTGCTTCAGGGACCAGCAGCTCCAGCAGATCATACAACACGGCCAGTGTGGGCAGATGGCAAAAAAAAATATAGGTCTCTTTACTAGAGAGGGTATATCCGAAATGGGTGGCAGRGTATGGCATACACTGACAACATGGGGTTGTCACACTAACACTCCAGCATGAACACACACACAGAGGATCAGTTGAGACTAATGAGTGTGAGTGATAAATCCATCCACTGCTAGCTCTCAGCTTCGTTAAGAGCTATTCTGACTTGCGTAGTAAGTGCTGGCTGGAGAAGTTCAGGCAGACTGGAGATAACTCACAAGTTACTCAACATGTCTAATAAGTTAAAGAAAAAAATTATTCAAATACATGTTTTTCTGTCATTTGTGTCACAAAAAATTGTGATTTGAATAACCCTAATCCTTTGTCCATCTCATTGCTCCAACACAACAGAAGTAGTTACCTCGTGTAACAGACCAATCGAAACAGAATCACTGTTTCATCCAAATTACACACATGCAAATAAAGTTACAGAGTGTAAACTTAGGACAAGCAGCACAGAAATCAAGTCTAAGTCAATCACTGTTTAGTATTCATTTGTCAGGCTGCCAGAGGTATTTCTTCCTCTCAAATTCACATTTGTTATACAAAATAGAGTAGATAGAGAAGCTACTAAAATATCATTTAATTCCACATACRATCAACCTTCAGGACCAATGCATTGAGTGCCATCATTCTTCCATATTTACCAAACTTTTGGGAGAAACCAGTTGCTGTACTAAACAAACTGCAAATATAAAACATACAATCAATCCAGCTCAGAACAGAAAGGAAATGTTTTTACAAAATTGTGAACAGATGCATAGCTACTTCCACTCTGTCTTGGAACTGAAAGGGCAGTGCACCTGCACAGCTATGACTTGACTCGAAGAGTGAACAAAATCCAGTAGATGTGATGACTATCTAGACACAACTCTGTTTGGAAAGTCGTACTGTAGGAGAGTGAGGCCAATGTTATGCGCAGCAAAGTGATGAGCAGTCTGTCACTGGGTCCGTGGGGGGCATAACAGAAGAATACTCTCTACAAAAACCCAGCTTTTCCAATATCTCTCCTTGCCCACCAGCAGTCTGCCAGATTTTAAACTTGTAAAGCTCCTTCCCACTGAACTAGATTCCACCCCCCACCATAAAGTGCAAATAAGACTCATTTTTCCCAACTAGTCCCAACGATTGTTATCTTGGTTACTAGACTAGAGTGATAAAGAGCCAGTTGGCTGAGCCACTACCACTAGGCTTAGAAATTCTCTTTCTTTCTTTTTTTCTCTCTTTTTTTTTTTTTTTTTTTAATTAAAATCCTGGGTATTTTTTTCCAGCAAAAGGCAAAGAGAAAACAAGAGTTCCTTCTGCCATATGCAGACATGACAGGAGGCTGTCGTAAGTACCATCAACGTAAAATGCACATGCTAGACAGATAACAACCAGTGTACTCTTGTGCTTGACAAGAACGTGCCATGGTTCACTGGAAATGGAAGTCATCTTTGGGATCTTATTGTGCATAAAGAGTTCAGAAACAGTTGATTAGTCTTCGTTAAGAGCTGCTTCTCTCTTCCGTGCATCTATATTGAAAAGATGAGGTGGGGGGTAGGGAAGGAGAAAATAAACAGGTAAGCCAGAATGTTATGAAAGCCTGATTTGATAGTGTTTAGTGTTTACCTGAAAACTTAGAAACAGACTAAAAAACAATATTTTGTTTTCCATGGATAGCACTTTAAAAACTCACGATTTAATTGACTACTTGAATTGAAATTCTGTAAGACTTCACAGCTTGTTAACAAGACTGGGATAACTACAGTTCTGATCTTCAGTTTCCACAGGGTAAAGAGGCAATTCATGCAACATCTAAGTAACTCAGTAAACTCTCAGATTCCAGGTCCATTATCATTTCCTCCTCCTCCCCACTTTTAGTCCCTTGCTTATGATCCCCTTCAAGGGCAAAGGCTAATTTGTTTTTCTACCCATCAAGAACAGAAATTACAAAAATCTTTTCTGAAAAACACTGGACTAATCCTAACTTTGCCTGTGTCCAGCTGTGTAACATACATATTTAAWAGAGAGGAATGATGCCTACATGGCATTATAAGGAATTGCCTGAGGCAGTCCCTCCAGACCAAATCTTTAACTTATCCAAACAGTAAATCTGTGACACTGTACGGCCACAGGCAGGGCTTTAGAGAACATCTGGACACTCAGCCCATTGCTAGTATGTCATTTCTACAGTACAAGGAATTTTAGCTGGAATTAAGTTAGCTGGGATCAGCTACTCCTGGAYGTTTGCTGGGCTGGCCACAGTCTGCCTATGGAGCCTAGCTGAAAGCAGGTAGCTCTTGAAGGGCACCAAGGTCACAGCCACTCTAGAACCTGCCTGCCAAAAGATGATTTATACATATATTTTTAAATTTGATTTCTTTCTAACTCATGATCTACACATTCCGAAGTCATTATGAATATATCCACTTAGAAATTATTTGTAAATAAAAGACAAATCCCTTTTGCATTAGTGTGGGCCATGACTGCCTTCAATTAATGTAAAAGACAAGCCCTATTTGGCCAGAACATTTGAAGAATGTAATTATGAAATTGTTTATGTAAGCCTCATGACTATGTGCTAAGCACAGTCTGGAGGAGACAAATATGCCTCCCAAATAACAAAAGAAGAGCTTAGAGAGGTAACAGAGTCCTCTGCAACTGCAGYTGGGGACAGAGACTGCCAGTCTGAGGCCAGGCCTGCATTCTTTTCTGACAAAATTTTTATACTTTGTGTAAAATAACTGAAGAGTGATTAGAGAAAAACAAGTTCTAAATAAAATGAATGCCTTCACCACCTTACTACAGATTTACTCCCCTTCTCCCTCTGGCTTTAGAAATATCAAAATGCATTCAGTTCTATTCTGTGAACATTTACAGAAGTGTCGTACCAGTCAAGTTCCTGAACTTTTTTTTGGCTTCAGCTCTTTCTTCAGCATCAAAATACCACACAGTCATGGCGTATCTGTAAAAGACAGAAATAACATATTCTTTTCAACTTCTGCTGTTCAAGTAGAGCACTGGAATTTTATTCTTATGGAGAAAGCAAATACAGACTTAATTGGTTTAGTGGACAAAAAAAAAATGGGTGCAAATGGCACCTCTCTGTAGACAAACGCAGACACTGTTTTAAATGTGTATTTTATTAAGTACAGCATAAACATAGGTGAGAATTTCTGCTTGGAGGCACAGCAGAGTGCATACCCCTGGTGACAGAGGCCGAAAGTAGCTTACAGCCCCTGGAGCCTTACTCTGTTCAGGGATGCCCTTAGGCAGCCTGGGGGCTGCTCTAGGTTACACCAGCTTTCCATAGGCTGCTGACAGATGGTTGCCCCCAAAATCCCTCTATGAAACAGGGTAAAGGTGTAACGCAGCATTTTCCAGCTAAATAGCCCTGCCCAGTCTACGAAGTTTCTCCTGTCGCTGGCAAAGGGGCATTTCTTTTTCTGCCACATAAGAAATCTTACTGTTTAAACTTGTTCTTCCCCACTTGATGAGGGAATTTCCAGTGACTCAAAAGATACTATATAAATCCATTCACAATCCAAATATCTTTTATTTTTATGCCTATGTATATAGAAACAAATAACCAATTAATCACTATACGTGGTTATTTAATAATGTGACAGTGGTAGAACACACCGCTTTTCCCTGGCTGAATGTCTCTAACAAATATGCCACTTACCTCGTTGCATAAGAAGGCTGGACTTCGTGTGGGTTCCTTCGGTCTGACCAAAAAAAGAGTAATCTGTCAAAAATTGGCTCAACGTCTGCTACATAAGACTTGCCTTCYGGGAATATCCGAAGAATTCCACCATGCAGCTGAAAGACAAGGAAAGGTTACTTTGTCCACATCTAAAACACCCAGATATTTGAATAACGACTTGCTTTTCCCTACCCAGTACTAAGCAAACACTGCACAAACATTTAGTGATAACCAAGGAAGCTCCAAGACAGTGCCAGAGAACTGTAGACTGAATCTCTTGGCCACTTCATTTTCCCCATTTGTCATGTTTGAACATCAACATCTGACTAAATCAAATAATCCAAGGTGAAGAAAACTCCGTCCCTGCCATAAATACTGGACAACTTCTCAGTTCCCCATTGCACACCTCTAGATTAGGCAATACCCATAAGAGAAGTAAGGAWGCTGCAGCTGACCATTTTGAGATTGGACTCTCTTCCCAACACATATAAGAACGTGTATCTGATCTTGAGGAAGTTATCTTTTAAATGCTGGAAAGAACAGTGAAGTCCATTCTATCATTGTAGTTTCATACATTTTTGATTAAATTTAATCTCCCATTCATTTTTTCCCCCCATCTTATGAGATAGCCTGGTTTCTCCACCACATAATTTCTCTCCCTCTGTTTGCCATCATTTTTGGGTGTGGGACAGAGAGCTGTGGTCATCCACACATCCTGGAGAAACTTCAAATATACACAGGAACCATCCCTCCTCCTTGTTGCTGTCTGCAGGCTCGTTGGAGACTTGTGCTGCACAGAGTGCAAAGCAGAGTCTGTCAACCCAGCACTAATCTGATTTGGCACCTCCACACCACAAGCAAACCTCAGAAAGTAACAACCTGGATTTAAAGCAACACGGTTGTTTTGACATGCCAGCATGGTTATATCATGTCTCCTCCTGCATCATACTTGTATCATACTCTCCATCAGTGTCCTGGTTTCTGGTTAGCTTTTTCAATAACCATTCYGGTAACTCCTCATTTTCAGAGTAAGGATTCAGTGTACAAAATAAATTGTACATTTCCTTCTCTCTCATTTATGTCCCTTCCCCTTCTCYATTTCATTAGAAAAAGACATTTCCCTATCATCCTTTCAGTGAAGAAACATGGTTTTCCCCAACATTACATTTTGCAGTGGTTTCTAAATCTAAGTTCCTTTCTTTGGATTCATAACACTTCTGTTTATCTACAGAACATCAACCTATGATGGCCAAAACAGGTTAGAGAGATAGTAACATTAGGCAATATACAACTAATATTCCTGTGAGTGTTTTGGGAAGTACTATAACAGCAGAAGCCAAAAGACATATTCTGCAATTTTACAAACCCTTATATTTTATTTCTAACTTAAAGACATGGTAAATTCAAGGCTGATTTTATTGCTCAATAAGACAAGAAATGACAGAAACAAGAGCACTGTTCTGCCAGGTGACCCACTGATGGAGTTAGAGATGGAGGACCAAAAAGAGCCACCTGCTCATTCCTCTCGTGAGACATGCAGAGAGCTCTTCCTCTCATGAAAGGAGGTCAGAGATTGAGAAACACAGGGGAAGGTCTCTAAACCCTGTGAAAGCCCCAGATGGCTTCTGCAAAACCTCTTCCCAACTCCAACCTGCAAACTTTAAGGAAGCAGCTGACAAGGCTGCTGAGAAAAGGTTGTTTTCATGCTATCAGGTTCCTTAAGACAAGTCCTTCTTCAGTATTGCTGTGCCATTTGAAGATGATTCAATATGGTCTTACAAACCAATGCCTCACTAAAAAAGAAAAGTGTACCCAAGAACACACCCCAAAAAAGTGAAAAGATCAGTTCTCCAATTCCAATTGTTCTAACAAAAATTCATCTCTAATGAAAAATAAGCATGAACAGATCTTTCCTAGGCTCCTCACACATTAAAAGGAGGAAGAAAAATACAGATAAAACTGCCTAAAGATCTTCCATAGGTCAGCCTGAAGGACCAGTTTTAGGAATGATAAGATCCCAAATCAGGACTGACATGTATTCTGCTGCCAGAATCCACTTACTACTTATTGGAAAATGTTTTTCTTCCAGTGCTTCATTACTCTTTCTCTAAACAAAATCTAAGTGCCAGCAGCCCCAAACTGAGAAACTTTATTCTATAACAACAAAACATTATGTGTGCGGAGTAGGAGACAGAAAGATAAAAAAACAGTTCATATTCTTACTTCCAAAGGGTTGCTATAAACAGCAAGAAAACAAAAGTTAAGTGATGAAGAAGAGACCAGCTGTTCAGAAGTTCGCCTAAGTTCACAGAGCAACTGACAGCTCCAAAACTCTGCTGAAGCCRTTTTCTCCTTTATGCACTGCCTTGCCCCATGATTTACTCACCTTGGAGTCCCAGTTCTTATTCAGGTAATAAATACAGGTGATGCAGCGCCCGTCACCATTCGGATTGTCCACATGACGAACATACCCAGTTCCATTTCCAGGATAACAAGCGACCATGGCCTGAAAGAAACATAAAGATTATGACTCTGGAAAATGAATTCTCCAAGATGCCCATCTTCGCTTCTTCTCAGTCCCAATGCTGCGGGAGATACCACCAGCAGGAATTTCCATACAAGCTTCTTTCTCTATCCCAGACAGAAATTCCAAAGAGGAAATAAATGTTTCACAATGTATATAGCAGAGTTGAGATGGGGGCAGGGGGAGAAGTGCATGAAACAAATACACATATGTATGGTGCAAATTTACTGTTTGCTACAAGCTACGTGACTGTCATCTCATTATTTGAGGCAGTTTCAGCTAAAGTTTGCTTTGGTTTCTAAAGTTGAGCAGTCATTGCAGAACTGACGTGTCAGTCATAATGAGAGCAGATGGCAATCCCAGTAAGTCAAGCTTTAGGGACTAGAAGATATGAAGGATGATGGTGCTATCATATATATCCCTGTRGTCCAACAAAAATTGAGGTTCCCCAGGAGRAGTGGGTAAAAGTCCGTAGAGCAAAGTCTGCAGAAATCTGTAACTTTTTTGTGCTGTGTTTGCACAAGGCAGTGCATGTTTGCTTTCATGGACTGMGCCACAGAACTAACCAAACAGCTTTCAGAAGTGTACTTCTCTCTTTGATCATCTGCAGACGTGCTGATACAGTCATTCACAGTGCCTTTAAATTTCACCTTGAATGATGAGATAAGCCTAATATGAATGACTCCAAACCACAAGACTGAACTGAAGACAACAGGTAYTTGAAATTTTTTTATAAGCAAAAACACATTAAATTTAAGTTTGCATCATCAGCACTTTCGAGCAGTAAGGGCGCAAGAGGAGATGACCACCTGCTTGGTGGGGTGCCACATCTTTGTCCCATGATCACTCCTTCACTTGGTTGTAAGGASCCTTCCATACAGTTTGGTCCACTGAAACTGTGATAATAGAAGTCTCAGCCCTGTCACTCCAACATCTCCTTTTATTGTCTGTGAAGACGATGATCATTGGACAATTCAGGTTGAAGTTGCAGGCACCATATCCAGATATAGTCTCACCAGGGCTGAGCAGAGGGGAAAAACCTTTTCTCTCAACTATGCTGAGAAGCACTGCCTGTGCTCCTCTATAGCCTAGGAGGTTATTGTGCTGGGGCATCATTGCAAGGGGCTCTTCCTTCCCAGGTAGAGAACTTTGTATTTGTCCTTGTTGAACTTCACAAGGTGGCTCATTCCCCCATCCCATCCRGGTCCTTCTGTATGGCAGCCCTGCTTTCAAATATATTAACACATCACTCCAGCTTGGTGTCATTTGCACACTTAAGTACATTCYGCACCTACTCCAGGTCATGGATAGAGATGTTAAACAAGTCGGGTCCTTTGCAGTAACTATTTGTTACCAGCCTGCTTTCTGGCAGAGCATGACCTATTAATCACTACTGCCTCAGCCCAACCATCCAAACAATTTTTACTGATCAAGCTTTCCATCTATCCAGGCCATAAACATCCTAACTAGGACATAGAAAACTGTATATGCCTCTCCCATAAAATGAGGGTGAGATTGTGTAGTGCTTGGTTGACCTTCCCCTAATAATCTGTCAAGCACAGCTAATAACACTGAAGATGTGGCTTTACTAAGGCAGAAATTTAAATTTATTAGTAAGGAACCTTAGGGGTCTTGCTTTCTCCTTTCTAGTGGATGCTAAACCCCTACCATTTTATGCTGCTAGACACACCATCAGTTACAGTACATGCCACTGTAATCACGACTTTCTTTTGCTATGTTGACAAACTCTGGGACAAAAATTTCTTTTCAGTCAGGATAATAGATCCCTTGGACCCTCCGCTACCAAGGACAAGGGTCTGTATTCATAGGAGTGGGCCAGTTGGGACAGGCATACACATACAGCTGCAAAAACACTGCTCTGCATCTTAAGTCATGTACAAATTGGCTTTCACTGTTGCTGCCCCTCTTCTCCATAGCCACGGGCACAGGATACCTGCAGGCTGCAGCAGGTCACCAGAACACACAGACCAGCCTGGACACCTCGGGCCATGGTTGCTTCGGGCTTGATGCCCTGCAGCAGCAGGGGATTATGTTGAACAACAGCAAGTACCTTTAATTCCCAGTAATAAGCCCTCTTTGACCACGTTTGGCACTTGGCTAGATGCCTTGCTTTAGGTCCCATCTGCTCTATTGTGGTTCTACTGTTAGAATTGGCTGGTAGCCTCAAATTCAACAATATTTCATTGCTAGCCTGAGAACAACAGTAAGATCCAGGCTAAAGCCAGTACTGGAAACAAGTTTGTTAAGGGGAGAAGCCTGGCAGAAAGCAGTTCCAAGGGAGACGCATCCTATCAGGGCACCAGCCTTTGCACATCTCCTAGAGCTCATCACTGTCYGAGGGGCTCCCTCCATCCCTCTGCCAGCTCAGCAGCTCCTGCCTTCACCCTTCACAGTCATAACGGGCTGGATCAGGCTGAACAATTAACAAACACAGTAACTCCTGGCTAAACTTGGTCCCTTCTTTATACTGGGGAGCTCTACTGATCACTCCGCAAGGAAGATGCATGGCAGGAGCAAAGCTTCAATGTAGGCTGATGCATGTTGAAAATAACAACAAAATAAAAGGTATTAGCACAAAAGCRAAGGGCAGAGGCCACTGAAAGAGCACTGAATTGCCCAAATAACAATCTGATTGCATCAATAATAATATAAAAAAAGCTGCACAAGAATAATAGATTCCAGGCCAGATCCTAAAAGGGATTTAGGTGCTTTACTTCCCATAGAAATCTGGGCACAATGCCAGAGTTTTCCCCCGCTCCCACCATATAATGTTCTGTTAGAGGAGCACGTGCTTTCACTTGGAGACATTGATGCATTATTTATTTATTTACACTGTGCACCTTTTGCAACTGCAACATGCATAGTCCCTGGGGATGTACGAGCAGAACAATTCCCACAAATTCCATAAGCACTGGCTGTACTCTAAGTTTAAGTTAAAAGAAAGAAAAAAAGTTTTCTAGTGCAGCAGCAGCAAAGGGAGAAAAGAACAAGTGAAATATCCTTTTTCCTGCAGAAAATTTGAATGAAACCTTAAACAATGAAGGGAAATCATTCTGGTCCTCCTAGAGCCTGTTGAAACGCTACCAAGCTTTATCAGGGCACTGGCTGGAGCAGCTCCAGAGCACATCACGCTGGCCTCGGCGGGGACTCCAGCTGTTAGCACTGCTTTCGGATTCATTCAAAGCAAACAAGAAACAGGAGATGAGATGCGTGACCCAGACTTAATTTAGGTAACTGGTGAACATAAGTATTTGCCAGTTTAGTATACAGGCTAGCTATAAAAGATGGAGCCYGGATCACATTAATCAAAACACTTACCCCTCTAATAAATGATCAGAGCCTCAATAAAACACATTCTCTCTACATTTGCAGGTGTCCAGAAGAAGCACCCATTTGGGGGTCCTCTCTCCTCACCAATCRACTCCAACACCAAACTACCCACACCTGGCAGTAAGGGGGCAGGAATGTACCTGACATCCTTCTTTTTCAACCAATAAAATCCACAGCAATGAATCCTAGTTGGCTTAACTTTCTACTGCAAGGACTCAATGCAAGTTTCAGCAATGTCCCACCACCACCACCACACCTTGATAATAATACTTTTTTAAAAAAAAAGAAGTTCGTCTTTACTAGCCTACTCTTCCTAAATGTGCAAAATACACAACAGCCAAACAGTTAAAACCTGTGATATGTAGATACATGCATGTGCAATGACACGTGCACATCATAGTTGGTCAGCTAGATGACCATATCATTGGGTTTCAGGCTTAAATTAATGCCTACCAACTTGGAAAATAAAAGTAATCATCTGCACTATCATTATCAGAGATGGTAGKTTTCCCAAGAGGGTGCAAATCAAGCACCAGCTAAACAAGTAGTAATGCTGAGCATTGGCAAGGCACCAGGGATCATCAATAAGCTCCATGTTGCACAGAAACCAGCAAAAATAAGTTATTCCGAGGTCAGTTTCAAGTACTACACTCAAGTAAGCGTGAGCAAGTCATAATGCAAGAGACCAGCAAAGTTCAGAGAATAATTAATAAAAATAAAAAACAATGGTTCTTTCAATGTTTTCAATGTGTCTTTCAATGTTTTCAGTAGGCAGAAAATCAGATTTCTCTTAGCTGACARCCAGGACCACGCTGTGAGATATCATACTGCTCTATCTCATAAGACAACCAGAGTGAATTAATACTTGGAGCAAGCAGTGCAGAGGATGCTTTAGCTAGAAGATGCAGAGGATGTTTTAGCTAGAAGATGCTGCAAAGTGGAAACACACACTTCTGAAGTGGTGACGACAGTGCATTAGAGAGGACTGTTTTCCTTCCTCCTAGGACCAAGCCACAGCCTCCAGGTTTGCACAGCCTAGTTCAGACTGTATAGGTGATAACCTTTCATTGATGCTGCATTTTCCTCTCAAACTGAAGAAATTCTGACCTGCACAATTCACACCTGCCAACACAAACCACCCTTGCAGAGGGAAAAGTGGCAATATGCTTTTTCACTTTCTGCTCCTGTACACTGCAGAACAGCTGCTACTTTTGATCCTTAAGAGTGGATGAGATGTCTGCATACCACTCGTATATCAAATAGTTAAGTTCAGAAAGCACTTGTAAATTCCATTAGAAGGCAGCATTACACACAGACCCAAAGCAATACAGATCTACAGCATCACTAAGGTAGCCATCTGGAAAGCCAAGATATTAGTAAGAATTAATGGTGCTATGACCACTGCAGCTTCCAAATATGTTTTTATGTGGTTACACAGTTCCAAGCTACCCAAATTTCTGCCAAATATGTGGCTTTTGACCTTAAAACTGACAGTTTAAAAAAAAAGGTTGTTTGGGGGAAGTGAGGACTACTAACATTCACTTCATCAGCATAAGTCCAAGTGCACATTGTCCTCAACTAGGTTTTAGTTTGTAGATTCACATATTCTGCACAGGCAGAAAGAAAAAACG